GCAGCAGCAGTAGTAGAAGAAGAAGCAACGGTAATGAATGGCAGCAGAGCCATGTTTTACGCCATTTCCCCTGTTGCTTGTTCACGTCGCTGCTTGTTGTTGTTAGCTCTTACATAGAGTGCGCGCAGAACCATAAATCAACGCCACAAAAGCCGAACAATGTAAACCACGAAATCTACAAGAACCATCAGGACCGCAATAACTGCTATGCAGACTGACAATGCAGGGTAGTTGCCATCCGATGCAAGTCAGGATTTTCGTGCCCAACTGTGATATCTAGACATTAGTATAAGATCTGGGGCTTTGGTCTGAACTTGTTGGGTTTGACACTCAAGTTCAAGCGGACAATAGATGTGAGCATGAAATGTTAATGCGAGTTTTGTGACGGATCTGATCAGAAAACTCCCTTGCACTTGTTGTTCGAGAAGTTGGAAATCCTTTCGACAAAAGCCTTAAACCCAAAGTCTAAGCCCTAAGCGCTACCTATAGTCTCCATTGTAGTTCATTTTTTAGTTTAAGCAGTTCTATATTTAGGATCCTATAAGCAAACCTCAAAAATGAACTGCCATGGAGACTATAGGTACGTCTAAACAACGATGGGAGTCGACTTCAGGCTATTAATTGAGGCTATTTGGGACTCCCGGCAAAGTGAGGTCTTCGCGAACAATAAGGCTAGAGCAACAAGAGCCACAATACTAGTAGTAATATTAGCAATAGCTGGTACAATAAAAGTAGCCATCGACATATATCTTCAAAAAAACAAGAAAACAAGCAACAGAAGCCCACTAAGAACCACGGGTTTCTTCCGCAGCATCCTAGGGTTTAGGGTATGGGGGTTTAGGGTTTATAGGGTTTGGGGCAGAATTCTTGAGACCCAGGAGAACCGCAGAACCCACCTTTAACCCTAGAGCCAAGGCTTGAAACGATACTTAGGAGGAGGGAGGTAACCTTTAACTTGTCGAGGATACTCTAATCGACAGGCCCATCTAATCCCAAAGGTTCACCTTTAGTTCCCCTAGGATAGTTTTTCTACGCACAACGGAATGGAATTATAGTTTTGGTCCGTTTACATTCCGGTTATATACCACGATAAGTGAGACCACAAACCCACGGTTTTCGCCGCGAAGGCTTGGTGGCAGCTACAGGAGACGCGCCTCTCCGCCGCAGAAGCAGCTATTGGGTTCAGATCGTTTTAGGATTCGGGCGCCTAACTCTCTTGCAAAAAAAAAACACATGTAGGCAAGCGAAAGCAAGAAACCTTAGAATAACAACTGCTTGCACGTGAGATGCGGTGCAGGCTGGTTGTCTCCGCTCTTCCCTATGGCTTCCCCACATCAGGGGCTGCAAGCTTGTCCCGCGGAGAGGCTGGCTACAGCTAGATCAGTGATCAGTCTTTGTGGTTTAGTGCTGTGATCTATCGGAGACACGTCTAGGGTCTGGGCATGTTGGTTTCAATTTGTAGACGGTTTTGCTTCAATTTCGGAAGGGAGATTAAAGTGGTGCTTGATGGATATTGACTTTGCCAGACGGTTTTCCCGATGCCAGAACGATAGTTTTGCTATGTTTTGAGGGTTGGCGTGGTGCTTGTCATACGGTTTCGGCAAGGTATAGTATGTCCTTGCTGTCTGAAGACCTGCTAATGGCTATGTCATTGGCGAAGCACGTCTGCAAGATTGCATGCTGTCGTTGACAACAATGCAAAGTATGTTCGTGACACACTTAGCCATAATCAATCCCCGCAACCGAAGCCTTATAGCAATAATTTCACAAATAATATTCTCTGGTGTTCCTTATATTATAGTCAAACAAAACATAAGACAACTAAATATAATAGAATATCATGTAATATTGTGTAATACAATTAATGTAACTTGACGTAGTAAACTACAATATTTAATATGCCTGTATGCAGGTATGCATGCATGTATGTATGCATGTATGTATGTATGTATAGATAGATGGATAGGTAGGTAGGTAGGTAG